GGCAATCAAACATAAGTGACGTCATAAATGGCTCACGCACTAGAATAGACGTCATAAAACAACAGTTTCGTCATAACTGGCGGTATCAACAAATTTGATGTCATAAAACATCGGATGTTCCGTAGTAAATGAAATGATTGAGGATAAAAATACAAAAGACATCAGTTAAAGGCTAAAGTAGTGGCCTATTAAAAGAATCTGATCCCAGTACGGGAGGGAAAAGAAACTGAGAACATCTTGCTTCATAATACGAGTCTTGAACTAACAAAATCCACGGAGAGAAACATGGCACCCAGCCAACATCCCTAACCCATTTTAATATTATCCTCCCAGCTACATTTAACTCTCTAAAGTGGTCTCTTCCCTTCAGATTTTCTTACTAAAACGTTGCACGCCACTGCAAACGATGACATGAAGACCAAATATGTCGAAATGAATAAAACTTCAAAAGATTCAGAGTTTAAAGACGATGGGTTAATCCACGATCTGGAGGGTGCAACATCTAATGTTTTCAGTCTGTCCTCGTTTCGTTGAATAAATATTTACAAAAAATTCAATATTGGCATTCTAAACAAAAAATTTAAGAACTAAATTTCAATTTTATCCATACTTGGTAACCTTGAATAAATCTTTACAAAGAAGTACGTATACATAAAACTTCAAACAGGTTATGTCAAATAGCCACCAGGGTAAATGTTTTCTAAACATTATTTACACTTATAAAACAAATACAAGCCTTCGCATTTCACACACTCGTTGAACAAAGGGTACACATATGTGTACTTCCATAAAAAACAAAGGAAATTAAGTTACATATCTATGCAATGTAATAACTACACTCCCTAAAGCCTTTTAGCCAAGGATTTAAGTCTCTGTGAAATGTGACATCTCTACTGTTAATTAGCCTGAAGTATGTCTCCACAATAACGCGTGTTATCTGCAAACAAATGATGATAAGGGAAATGAGGTACGCAAAGTAACAGGGTAGCCAACATACAGTTTCACGTATATATAAATTAAATTTTAAAAATTACTGTTCCACGTTATTCATAATTTTTACTACAAAGTAAAAAAAAAACATTTCACTAATCTCTGCAGGAGACTTCAGATAAAATTTTCTTCAAAATTCATTTCAAAAACTTCGAATGAAACTTGGTAGGGAAGTGCTCAAGACACACATCATAAAGGTATAGCAGGCAAGATGTAACGAGTTATTTATAAATGTAGATACTTCACATAAATCGTGTGTCTGGATGCATATCTTGGCCAACAAACAAACAGTACCCAAAAAATCAGACCACAGACTCCCTCGTATATTCATATTATCAAAAAATGGGCGTGAATAGTGCACGTCTGTAATAAATGATGATCAGTACTCAAATACCGGGTCTACAATTTATGAGGCTGCGGTCGTGCTTGCATTGCGAGGTCGGCCGGCGCTCTGTTGATGTCGGCGGGAGTCGTGCGCGTTCTTCCGGTGGGGTGACCAGCGAATCAGTTTCAGTGCCGCTGGTAACAGCGAACTAAGAATACTTCTCGTCACTAATACATGTTATTACATTAATTGTTCTTTGTTCGATGTTATCTCGGTCTATTTCTGGGTGGGGGGGGTGCAAAAATACCCGACAAAATCAAGTCTGTGGGATCTGTTTCCGGGATCCGCCCGATTGTATCACGAGTATCAGAGAAGTGCCAACTACAAAAAAAAAAATGTCCCGAGGACGTCCGAAACGTTATTTTTTTGTATCTGGCTGCAATTATTTGAGCCGGGCCCGAATAAATTCCAGATCAGAACATTATTCGTATTTGGAAATTTTATTTTGCGTTTTGTTATGGAGGTACTCCACCAGAAAAATACGGCATGATCCCCCTGCGACTGCTTTAGACAATGTGTTGGCTATATGGGACGACTGTCAAACGATGACAAAGTGGGCCTTGGGTTACAAAATGACACTGTTTCAACTGCAGAGTTTGAAAAGGTTTTCTTCTGAATGAGATGGGGGTGAGATGATCAAGAATGATACAAATATACAGATTTTGAAGATATTCGTGGCCCTGTCACAACATTCATCTGCAAAGATAGTAGAAAATCACTAAAAATCTCAGTCTGGGGGGAGACAGTAAACCTGATTGTGATTCAAACCACGCCAACCTCGACAACAAGTTTTTTGTTACCACTAAACTTATGTGCACTGCCTATCAGAAAACTTGCCTAAACGTGATCCAGCTTTTTTATGTCCCATTCATTCTAAATTCAGGCGAGACTCACGAAACCCGTTATCAAGAATTATCAAAGGGACTTTCGTGACTTTATCATAAAACATAATTACCTTACATGTATGGCTGTGTTTGGCTGAACGCTTCAGGAAACAAAACGTGTGGACTGATTAATGCTTAAGAACGCCTGTTGTAATTTTACAAAACTATTCTTTTGCAAATTCAATTCTTTTCAGTGGATTTATATGGAATCACAGACTTTTAAACGTGAATTCATCTAATTCCAGAATACATTTCTCATCCTTCAACTGATCGTAATGTATATTAATTCTGTCACTCGTATAATTCAACATGCAGGCAGCGACCAGTCAATGTTTTGCTCAGGACGCTCCGACATAATCCACAAATCACAATTAAGTTACATCCTTGTCTCATTCTTTCTTATTCTGAATTCACAGCATGAAAATAGTAACTTGGAAACATCACAAAAACCCACCAGAAGATGGAGGAAACACGCCTGCAATAATTACGATATGGTCGATGGAATATTGGATAAACAATCTGATAACATTTTAGCCACAAAACTCTGGACATCCAAGGAATTATATATTACTACTTGATACAAATAACAAAGCTGTGTATTATCGACACATCCCAGAAACCTTCCTTATAAAGCAATTACGATACGTGAATCAAACCAACTTCGTGGAGCAGAATGCTTCTAGAGAAGCTAATTTTCACCTAAATGTCCATTACCATATTCTAAAGAACCCACCACTGGTCCATATCCTGAGGTTGCTAAGTCAAAACACCCTATTTTTAATAACCATTTTAATATTATCCTCCCAGCTACACCTAGGCCTCCCAAGCGGGTTTCTGATTAACATTTCTGAGTGCACTTCTCACCCTGTCCATCTGAACCTCCTTCATTTGATCTTGGAAAAAGTACTGACATGCTTGATCACGCAATTCTCTCCAGCCGAAAGTATTTCTTCCCTCTTCGGTCCAAATACTCTCCCCACCACTCTGTTTTTAAATGTCCCTAAGCTATGCTCCTTTATTAATATAAGAGAACACATTTTTCACTCATACACAACAACAGACAAAATTACAGCTTTGTAAACTTTAATCTACATATTTTCAGATAACAGCTTCAGAAAAAGGAAATGATTCTGCGACACTGTGTAGTAGCAAGCATTCCCCACATAAAATCTCATCTCACATGTTGATGTTCTTACAAATTTCTTAGCATTGCAGAATTTCCAAAATATTTCTTGCCTGTCTTTCTGTAAAGATTTTGACGTGCTTCCTACTGACAAGACATGAACACATACTTAAAATTTATCTGCATTCACCTCCAGTCTAACCCACTTACTAGCAGCTAATAGAACTTCTGTGTTTTATCTGTGGTATTTCTGTTTCTGCCCAATATATCAAGATCGGCGCAGGCCGGGAGTCAATGCATCCACCTCAATTTCAATCATTCCTGATTTTCTTATATCTTCCTAACGGCATATTCTAAAGCAAAGTTCAAAAGCAGAAATATATGATATGTGGCCTTCATGACAGGTTTCATGTTAACAGATTAACCTAACTAGCTTCATGGATATTCCAAATTCAATGAGCACAGTACACATTACTTCTCTCGTGAGCTTATGTATGTGGACTGTCAACTGAACCCCATTTTCTCCAATATGCAGAATATCACAACAGTTGTTAACCCGTTACATCAAAATTCACACTACTGATCCCAAAAAACTCTGTCTGTGTAAGAAATCTGCCTTGAGAAAATAATTTAGTTGATAACAGGATATTCCTCGAAAATTACTGCAGTCACCCTTCTTAGACGTAGGTATAATAATAATTCCTTCTACTGCCTCAGTGGTTCATCTGTAGTCTAAATGGAATAAGCTTGAGGATCTCAGAACATGATGTATTATCTTCTACTTGTATGAATTTGATCAAAACCTGGAACTTTATACCATTCAAATGCTTCAACAGAGTCTTGGAGACTATAACCTCACAGCTAAGCGCATGTATAACATCTCAAAATTTACAAAACCAACATATAACATAAATGGGAAATTTTCTTTAAAAAAACCTGAAAGAATAAAAGTAAGCAATAAATTTGGGCTCTGTCCATGTAAAAAATAATTCCATTACTCACTTTGAACACTTCAGAGAAGAACCCTGAACCAATTTTTTCACATGTAAAATCATCGAGTCTGTTAAGGGCAGCAACAGCATGACGTAAAGCCTGGCAAGAAGAACCTGTCATGAGAGAATGTTTTGCTACTGGCGAGGGACCATCCATCATAGGTTGTGGTATTGGAGGTGAAACCGGTGTTATTAAATCTCCACTGCATATTCGATGCTGTTTACCAATGTTATCACTGCACTGATTTTCACAGTATCCACTATCACTTCCTAGACCACTCTCTTTTCCAAACATGTTTATTCCAGGTCTTCTGTTCACAAAATGAAATTATGTCACAGACTGATATATTTTCAACATGATATTTAAAGATGAGGAGGGCCTAAATGTTTTAAAGACAGACCAAGTTTCTGAAGTAAACATTATTCACTTGTCGGCTGTGTAACCTGCGTTATATAAAATCTCAATCAGAATAGGTCATAGAATGATTATCAATCTACTCTATGAAAAAATTTCACCCGAATTTCACGGTATACTGTGACATAAAAATATGTTCTAATATATATTATAGGATTTAAAAGGTAGGCCAATTGTTATGAGCAAATACTTCATGCAAAGTGCAGTAAATACACGCGTTTAAGACTAATGCCCGAAATCTTGACATAAGTGACCGAATGTTGGCGTTGGCAATTTAATTTTGTGGGATAGCCACGGTCCTCTGAATGTCATTCTACAAGTAACCGGAAATTTACACTACTTTACGATTCAATTACACCAGCATATCAAAATATGTATTCGTGAATCGTATCAGTTTCACAGGCGCACTCACAACCACTGACACACTATACGAAATGATCCGGTTTAATCAATTCCAAACCAGTGACTACACGACCAGAACTTTCACCAACCGCTAAACAGGCCAGCCATTTTAAAACTGCAACGACATCTGGCGTAAGACACTGATATTAAAGGTGACGTCATAAACGAGGGGAGCGCAAGTGACTGAAAGACATAAATAAACTAACACAACTTCATCGTTTCAATTTTGGCTCACGAAGACAGTTGCACCACTCAAGAAAACACATAATCCGTTTACCCGCTTGTTATATGAGGTTATCTCCAGGATAATTCAACAGACAGCAAAAAGTATGCAAATAAAAAAAACATCTGAGTAATGCCGGACATAAAAAAGTATCTGATTAAGAAATTTGATATATCGTACTTCACTATCGTTCGTTGTAGATAACATGGACAAGTTTCGAACAAATTTAAACATACAAAGAGTAAACCCAAGGCATAAACATGATCTCCATGTGCCGAATAACTTGCCTCACCAGTTACCAGAAAATGTTAACTATGCAAGAATCAAGTTTCTCATTGATCTCAAACATCAAACTCTCAAATCACGATATAAAAGTATTTAAGCCAAAACTTAAAGACTATCTTTTATTTCACTCCTACTCTGAAGAAGAATTTACTTCAATATATATATTTTTTAATATTGTACATATTTATGTAAAAAGCTCCAACAACCATGAACTTGTATTAATTAACACAAGTACAGTAATTTTATAACACGTTCAACATCCTTGGCTTGTACTATGATAGATTTATGTTGCAAATAAATTTTAATCCCATCTCCGCGCCACAAAAGAGATATGCGACTATAAGCCGTCAATAGGGGTGTTGTGCGCCTTAAGTTAGGTTAGGTAAGGCTAGTCATGTTGCAGCATCTTATCTTTGTTCTGGTTAAATTTGTATTATCTTTAATTGGCATAACCTGGGTTCAGCTAACAGAAGGTATAATGCCCTGACTGACGCAAAACAGCTCTGTAATCCTTCGGAGCCCCTTTTTTGGGTCACGAGTTAATTCGTAAGTCCTACCACTCATACCTTAGAGGAGAAAACGTTTTTTGAGGACATGGAGACGAGAGTTTTAAAGGTACCTTTGAGAAAAATGCCTTTCTGCTTCAAATATTTGTAATGACAAAATATTCAGTTCAAATACAAATATCTGTACAAAAATTAGGTAGAAAAGTCATCCATTTCTTTTAGTGGCTGGGAGATATTCGTATGTTTCATTCCAAAACTATTCAATGGATTTTTATGACATTTGAGATCGTGGGATGGGAAGAGAATAACCAGAAATGTTTAATGTTGGTTTTCGTCTACATTAAAATCAAATCGAAATTCATTAATGTTCTGAAAAACTGGCTAGTATCACAACACACGTGCTACGTTATTAATAGAATAAAATTGTGCATTAAGTATACGACGGAAATTCAGCAACTGAACATACATGGGAAGTAAAAAGTCTATGATGACAATGGAGGAGAAAGGATTACCTAAATCACTTTTCTAATTGTTGCTTCTCTCTACTTTCTAACATGAAATGTTCCCAAGTAAGTTGTGTGTGGAAATGTGGACATTGAACTTCAAGTAAATATTCCCATAACCCAGTGAAATTAACAATCGACTTCCCATTGTTTACATTCATGTTCTCACAGAAATTGGGCTGAATGAAATGCAACTGGAGAGTGAAAGTAAACACATTTATACAGCATTTAACTTTAATATAAACGTTTTCGAGACTGAACTGACGTTTAACGATGATTTATCAGTCACTTAAGTTATTTAGAGTATGCTTACATAAAGGGTTAATTGAGATAAGCGACATTGAAAATGTGAGAATGAGCTTCATCTGTCATAAACTTAAATAAACAGGTCGGAGAAAAATTAATGAAAAGGAAGGTTTCTATCTTATACACACTAATGGTGAACAAGCAATGGATCCATGGATCTTTTGAAAATGTGGCAAAGTTAAGATATTTGGGAGTGACAGTAACAAATCAAAATTTGATTCATGAGGAAATTTAGAGCAGATTAAATTCGGGTAATGCTTGGTACCACTCAGTTCGGGGCCTTCGTCTCTTTGCATGCTGTCTAAAAAGGTAAATTTTAAAATTTGTAAACCTACAACTTTTCCTGTAGTTTTGTATGGGTGTGAAACTTGGTCTCTGACTCTAAGTGAGGATCGTAGTCTGAGGGTGTTTGAGGTCAGTGTGCTGAAGAGAATGTTTGGATCTAAGAGGGACGATTTACTAGGAGGCTGGAGAAAGTTGCATGTACTTATCACCAAATATAATTAGACTGATAAAGTCAAGGAGTATGAGATTGGCGGGGCATGTAGCCCACATGGGAGAGAAGAGGGATGAATGCAGGGTTTTGGTGGGCAAACCAGAAGGAGCGAGACCACTAGGAAGTCCGAGATGTATATGGGAGGGTAATATTAAAATGGATATTGGACAAATAGGATGGCGTGGTATGGCGTGGATTCATCTGGCTCAGAACAGGGACCAGTGGTGCTCTCTTGTGAACACTGCAATGAACCTTCATGTTCAATAAAATCCTGGGAACGTCTTGAGTGGCTGAGCGACTGTTGGCTTCCATTAAGTGAGTGGTGAGCTCGCTCGCTCTATTGCTCATCAATCAGTTTTAAAGGTTAAATGAATAATTCAGTCAACAAAGAAAATGATAGCAGTGACACACATTTCTTTCAATAAATGTATGTTATGCTTTCAATTAAAATGAAACCATACAAAAATTATTAAATTAACATGAAAAATGTTACATAACATAGTTACATCCTAGTTTTAATTTACATGCCATTTCTAATTATTAATAATATTAGTTCATTCATTAAATTCACACTCTGGGCACATTAGGAACTCCTGCATTCGTTTGGTTCTTAATTTTAATTGTATTAGAATCAGAACTATGAAATGTTAGTTGGAAGACCTCACAACAGAGACCTGAATGTGTATAACATCTGTTACTAATAACACAAATTATAAAAATCCTCTTGGGTATCTCTGGACTCATCTTCCTACCACAAAAATCTTTCTCATTTCATCTGTGTAATTATGGTAACATGTTGACCCGCCTTGAGACACTCGCCAGTAGATGAATGAGTCACACATCACAACACTTCTCTCAAAGAAGACTCTTGATTTGTTCTTCCTCTGAACTGCCCTTCAGGGTGGTTGTAATTCTCTTTAAAGGACAATTTGCCATGTAGCGTCCTAAGAACAAAAGTTAAAACTACTCAAAGGTACTAACTTATTTCACTAGTCTAGTGATCGGACAAAGTCGGATGTAACAGAGGGAACAAATTCAAGTCAGTTACACAAAACATGATGCTGATGGAAGTCTACATAACAAAGCACAAGCAGCGTCAAGAGAAAGTCTTTGTTGTTATCTCAGACATCCCACATGATGCGAACTCTTGAACAAATGCAGTATTCGCCCAACCTCACTCACGCTTGTCTTCAAGTTCCCAGTATTTCTGATTCTTATCAGAGGAGACAACTTTGATTACTTGTACTTTCCAAAGATGTAGGGCAAGAAAAAGTGAAACTCATCGAGAAAATTTACCACGTTATGTTTGTTTGTTTATTCAGTCGACTGCTACTCTCCTTTATTAGGCGACAATGGCAGTGACATTACACTGCAACAATGTGAACAACAATCTATGGAAATTTGATGAGAAGGAAAGCATTCGGTCATAAGAAAGATGAAATAAGCGGAAAATGATTTTATTCTTGTCCTGAAGTTTTTGTGGCTGGAGTTCAATGTCTAACTTTGGTTTCAGGGATAAGCCGCATCGAGTGTTGTTATCCAAAAGTTTCAGCAAACACTGTAGTTGCCATCTTCAGGGTGATTGCGTAGAGGTTTGTTGAAACACTGGATAACTATCAACATCTGATGTAGCCTATTTCCATCAACCAAAGTTACTTGATCATTTATACTGTTTATCAGATGCTGTAGAGAGTGGTTAAGACTAAATAACTAGATGGCTTATGAAACCCAAAGGTTCATCACCGAATTAACCAAAGCCCTCCACCGGACCCTGTCCTAGGCCAACAAAATCCAGTCTCCTTCAACTCCTATCTCCCATAGATCCCGCCTGAGATTATCCTCCCATCTACGTCTAGGTCTCCCCAGCGGTCTCTTCCCCTCAGGATTCCCAAATAGTGGACCCAACCAACCAGATGGCTTACGGAACCCGAAGGTTCATCACCGAATTAACCAAAGCCCTCCACCGGACCCTGTCCTGGGCCAACAAAATCCAGTCTCCTTCAACTCCTATCTCCCATAGATCCCGCCTGAGATTATCCTCCCATCTACGTCTAGGTCTCCCCAGCGGTCTCTTCCCCTCAGGCTTCCCAACCAATACCCGGTGCACACCTCTCGTCCCATCCATGCGCGCTACATGCCCGTGGTTAAGACAGTGAAATGAATTTAAGTATACCAGATAAAATCCCCCAATGGGAGACGCAAGAAATTAAAAGAGAATTTTGATGAAATCTCATGTAAAGATACCACTTTGCAGAGGATGATAAAATGTCCCTCAAGTATCAATATCCTGCCTACAGCCCACTGTAAACGCTGCTGTGTATGCAGTTTTCCTCAGCTGCCTCACCATTTTGACTGTCACTTGATTCCCTGTGCCCTCACCACTGTACTTGGCTGCTGGATCCATTTGAGAAAGGCGTTTTAATTCAGGGAACACACGGTTGTATTTTGCATATGATATTTAGTGAGTATTATACTTCTGGGGCAAATTGTACTTGCAGTTGTAACAGGAACTTTGCTCTCAGGACCATGTCAGCCCTGCTCCTGTTGGGCAGTTGCACGTAGGCCATTAGCCAGTTCAGGGTAGACCCAGGACTTTGGACCTACCACAGGTCATCATGTTTCATCACAGACTTTGTGATCAGAACGTCTATACACAGCTGCTAAGAATGCAGGAAACCCTTTTTCTTTTCGGAGTCATCTTTCTGATAATTCATCTGCCGGAAGAACAGAGCTGTAGGCTGGAAGCAAGGCCCGGCCTGTCTGCACCCTCCTGATCGACGATAAATCCGGGCTGGAAACTATCGGACATCTGACTACAAATTAATTTCTCCACGATACCTAACCACTGTGGCTATTCAGTATTCCCACTGCAATCTTCACCTCTGCACTTTGAGCATTACTCATTTTTACATTCATATACATTTTGCATCCATCGAAAATAAGGAGGAAACTGCGAGATCTCAGCTGAATTAAGATTTTGCCACCCAGGACCACACTTCACGAAACCAGGGGACTACCACAAGACCCCACTAAGCAAAGTTTTGAATGTCATTTGAGGTGCAAGACAGACAAAGCTAAACAGCAGGGGACGCACAACAGATGACAGTCATGGTGCTAGGATCAATAATTGCTCACCCCTTATTCAAGGCACCCCCACCCAACAGGTCAAGGGATTACAGCGAATTTTAAAATCCATTATCCGCGTCAAACCTTCTCCACGCTTGTCAGGAAATGTGATGCAAATCAGCTTGGGATCAAAGAATTCTGGTTCCATTTTAACAATAAAAAGCTTGATTCTTTTCTCACAGCCCTCTAGAAGAAACAACATGAAACAAACCTCACTTATGGTTTCTTAGCATATTTAACAACACTTATAAAATTATTATGGGTTTATTGCATAAAATAGTAGGAAGCGTGATAATGGAATGGAAATGACATAGAAGGAAGTGTTTGCGTCTTTGCCTGCAGGGACTAACGAAACAAAAGGATTCAGTCAGGACGTCTGGTCTTCAAGTCAAGAATCAAATACAAACAGGAAATTCATGTGCTAAGCAATCAAGTACAATGTTCAATGAAGTGGGAACAAAATATTCAAGAAGGTCAGTTCTGTGGATTCTCAAATGACATGGGTATTCATCACACGAATTTGTATTATAATTTTTATATTACATCAACAACTTGTATGCGTTTGTTATCTGTTCATTGCTTTAGCAGATGAACATACTGTCTGGCATCAAAATCATCTTCAATATCTTCCTCGATCTTGACTTTCTTCTTTGGTTTTCTTCGTTCTAATCTAGCTATACGCTCCGCTTCACTTAACGTTGAAAGGTCAAGTGGTAACTGCAAACAGGGAATTGACATGATTACCGATCAGTACTTGTACTTCTAACCGCTACAATAGTTTCGGAGCAAAACGGCTAGCCTACTTTTAAAAGGCCAGAGATGGCAGGAAGATTTATTATATTTAAATGATGTGGGCATAATTCAAACGGTTAAATATTTTGGTAAAAAAAGGATATACACTCTTTTTGCATCAAAATGTGCAGGAACTTAGGTACGTAAACACCTGAAGATGACTAAATTACAGACAAAACATGTAGCCTAACAACATAAGAGTGTAAAAGCATGTAAAAAATAAGGTTTAAATAAAAACCATATAAATCTGGTTACTCTATGTTTGTTATCAGACGTAACTAACTGTGCGCCTCGGAATGGCAAGATTAAAGCACAGTGACAAGTGGATGCAGAGAGGTCCCCTGGTATAACTGGAACTTCCCCTTCCAGCTTCCTTTCTGTTTCATGTGGGTCAACTGAAGAAAGTCTTCAGCCTCATTAATTATGCCACAATCTTTCTTTCTCGATTTCCTGTCAGCTCTTCCTTTTCTGCTCGATGTTTTCTAGTGTCTGGATAAACCAACTTGTTCTGAGCTGTCCCACGGATCTCCTTGTTTTAAATTTTAATTCTCTTTGCAACCATATTATATCCTTTTTTCTTTTCCAACAATAATTCTCAAAACTTCTGTATCTATTGCTTGGCTTCTTCTTTTGTTTTCACAGCAGTACATATATATATATATATCAATGTTGGTCTTATGGGTTGCAATGCATGCCATGTGTACTGTCCACAGACCACGAGAAAAACCCTGCTGAGGGAAGTCGTTTCTGGTCGGTGCGGGGGGAATGTTTACTATCAGCTGGACTAGAGGGCTGCTATTGGTGGGAAGTGTGACACGTCAGAGTTTTACGCTACTACACACAGTCTGAAAACATCAAGCAGTTAAGCGTAGCGTGTAGTGAGCGCACCTCTAATGTGTTCTGATAATATTCTAGATTAAATCGCTGTGCCGCTGTGAGGTAATCTTAAAGCTGTACACATTAGAACACATGAAAGCCTATCGTCTGTTGTTCGTTCAGTGGTTGTGGAACGAATGCTTTTAGGATGGGTCGTCACTCACCGCGAAATCTTGCGCATGCGCGTATATCGAATTCCTAGCAGGGATTTTCTCCTGGTCTGTGGACTGTACTTGTAGACAGATTATTAATTATGAAAAAGTGGAGGCAGCAAGGGCCTCTGAAACGTCAGTAAATTTCTACCAGACTACAAGGCACAACAACCCAGAAGACAACCATCCTCAAACTCTTCATCATGAATACCTCAAATCTTACAACACATGCTTTGTTTTGAAAATATTTTTCTAAAATTAACAGGTTAATAGAAATCTCATGCACTGAACAGTTTGTAATACAGAAACAAAGTGAAGACCCTCTATTTGAAACAATGGTGTCCTATAAAAAAAGTTTATGTATTTTTAATAATACGTTATAATACTGTAGAGAAAATTGCGTTGGAATTCAATTTGCTAAAATGTCTTCTATGAGTAAGATTAGTACTTAAGTGTTCAAGAATAAATTTTACTGCTCTTAAAAATATACAGTTGTGTTTCTACATCGCCTGTGATCTATCAGTAAGTTCATGTGGTCATTATTTATGGTAATGCTTGTGTAAAGTAAGTAAAGCTGTCCCACTACACGCCATGCAGGCGCTTGGGGGGAGTGGAGGTATAGCTCCTACTCTTGACCTCGGCACTAGATGGGGGTGAGTGTTCAGCATCACGCCCCAGCCACGCTTTAGCCCCCGGGAAAGGACCCCGGTACCCATTGTATAGGAGGCTGGGGGGGCCCCAGGGCCAGTCTGGACGCAGAGGCTCCAGCCAGTCTGGACGCAGAGGCTACAGGAAAAATCCTCTGCCCCCATCGGGGATCGAACCCTGGTCGTCCAGCCCGTAGCTAGTCACTATACTGACTGAGCTATGCCGGCTCATGGTAATGCTTGTGTGGTACATGTAATTCATTACAACAGTTGTCTATTTCAACAAATTGCATTCAGAATAAAAAAGCGCAAAAAAATGCATGTGGAAGCTGTGTATTGTGGTACAGATAACACTTTTCCAACCTAAATAAAATTAAATAACCCTTTTAAAGTAAATAATGCAAAATTAAAATACCTTAATGATCTTTCTTGGCTCATGATAACGAATACCGAAGCTTGAACCATCTGGTAAAATGACTGCAGTCGGATATAACCGAGCATAAATTTTACGATGCACTTTGGTTATACTAGCAGTGTTGCTATTCAGACATCTGAAGGGTTGATGAACTAAGGAGCGTATAACAAACCGGGCTGGCTCCTTTAACACCACCTGCCAACTAAGAAGACAAAAACTTCACTTCAGCGCATTTTTACAATACAGTGACCAGTACCTCACACCATTTCCGCTGCCACAATGTTTTGAATAAGACATACAAAAAAATTCATGTACTGCAAAAGTCACACATTCAAGTTTTTTTACATGTGGCAATGGAAATTCATAAATAAGTTCTAATAATTTCACACCTTTCAAATCATCCACTAATTGACGGAACTTGTATTTTTTTTATTGTGATTGGATATACTTTTATGTTTCTATAATAAATTTATAATATGTTAAGTCAGATTAGTTTAATAACCTATATATTTAAATGATGTCTTTGTGAAGTTTCTCAAATTTAAATTAACATTAATTTTACAAAACGTTTTATTGTACCTTACATGATCTTGATGAGCACTAAAGAGACTCATGTATACGATCACGGTAAAATAAGATTCCAACGCCGCTTTTGTTCTTACGCTTAGCACGAACTAGTGCTGAAATATAAATTGTCAAAAAGATTGGGAACAATATAGCAGTAGTAGTGGGTTTATAGGCGCATCATCTACTCTGGCTATTAGCATGTATTCAAGTAAATCTTGTGAAATAACACAACTTAAATATCCAAAAACTAATTTGAACATTAAGATTCTAGGGTTTTTTTTATTTTGCTGGTATTTCTTTCCTGCAAATGTTGATATCTTTCATGACAATTCGTACAACACACAGAGATAAAGATGATTTAGAAAAATAAAATCTAAAATATGCCTATCCAAAAAAGAAAGACATTTTTTTAAAAGTAGGTACATATTTAGTGTTTCTACCAATTCCCTTTCAAAGAGTTTCTAATTTTCCTTCTGTGTCATCTACACATAATTTTAGCAGCACAGAAAACCACGTAACTTAAACATTATAATGCTGCTGCCTGTTGCAATGAACAAGTTTTATAAAACTTACATAAATAATTTTCTATTTTCAAGGTGTAGATTTTTTTCCAGACTTTCACCTACAGTGAAGTCAGGAATTCAAGGCAGGCCCTATAATAAACGAAAAAACTGAAAATAAGGATAAAACAAGTTCTGATTTTAAAATGGAAACTATTAAACTCCTCCGCAGATTTGAGGAAAACAAACTCTTGTTGTACAAGCACAAACCTTCTTGCCAACATTTTAAGATATTGTATTTTTATTATTTCACAATATTTACACTTCTGTACGTCTTTGTCTTTGTTTTTTGTTTTTTTAATCTCCTATCTCAGTATCTTCCTATGAAGAAGATTAAAACTGTGTCCTAATTAACTAGATCCTAGAATATGATGAAATAAAATACAAAGACTTTAACTTATATAAGATTTTTAATTTCATGTATGAATTCAAGAGATTCAATCTGACTTAATACAGTATTCGAAATTAACCGACAGGTTATGTCATGATATCAAACAATTATATTGAAAAAAGTGCAGAAAATAATTTGAATTCTTCTATGTTTTGATCTAATCTAATTACACCAAGTTTGGCAAAATGTAACCAACTCCTTGGGGCAGACTGCTTCTTCAAAAGCTAACAGATGATCAGCTGTCAAGAAATTCTCCACCTTTTATGGAACAAGAAGTATAATTACCATGCTCGCAATTGCTGGTCAGACTGAGGATCAAATACTGTCCTGGAAGATAATGTGGTGGGGCAGGCAAACTGTATTCCGCACTTTAAACTTTAGTGTTGCTTGGTAAGTAAATGAGCAACACATGTTATGCAATTTGATATCAAAAAACTAAATGATGCAGAAGTTATCAGGCCAAAGCCTTAAAACCAGGCTGAAACTTTGGAAAACTCGGGATGGTTCACAGACACAAACTTATTAACTCCATTTGGAAAAAGGAAGAATTGCAAGAGGCTATTACTGCACCTATTTATAAAGGACAATAAAACTGACTGTGGTAATTATTGAAGAATATCACTGTTACCAATCCCATACAAAATTTTACCAGACATTCCTCTGTCAAAGTTAACTTCATGCCTACATAAAATTATTGGGAATCATCAACATGGATTTCCATGTGACTGATTAACTACTGATCAGATATTCTACATTCATGAGAAACTGGAAAAAAAATAAAGAGTTCAAGGGGGCAGATTACCAGCTATTTATATACTTCTAGAAAGCCTATGATTCAGTTAGGAGAGGGGACGTACTACACAACTCTTGCTGAATTTCGTATATCCATGAAAATAATTAGGCTAACTGAAACATGCTTTAATGAAACCTACAGTAAAATATATCGAGATAAACAACTGATATAGCACCTCCTATTCAGAATGGTCTGAAAGAACAGTATTTGGAGATAATGGTAACAGACCAAAATTGCATTCACAGGGAAATTCAAAGCAGATTAAGTCTGGTTACCATGCAGTTCAGAACCTTTTGACTTCCTGTGTGCTATCCGAAAGTGCAAACTGTAAAATACACAAATCTATAATTTTACCTGTTGCTCTGCATGGATATGAAACTTCATCTCTCAAATTACGAGAAGAATGAAGGTGTTTGTGAACAGGGTGCTTAGAACACTTGGACTGAAGTGGCAGGAGGCTCAAGAAACGTACAAAATGAGATGCTTCATAATTTGTAATCTTCATTCTATATCAT